GCTATGAAACTGATCTATTTTCAGAAAAATCTATTGACGTCATTTTCAGAACTTTTGATCAAATAGAGAAGACAGAAATTGCTTTGTTTTCAAGACGATCCTTTACTTATAGGTGTTTAAACACAATTCCACTTGAATCACCTGTTCGTTCTCATCTTTATACAAAAATATTTTCTCGGCAGCCTTTACCGTTTACCTTCCACATGATTTACTTAATTTTTGAAATTGAAAATGGAGAACAAGAAGAATTATTGTTCTTTAATCTTATTAATAATTCAGAAATACTAAAAGATACGAAACGGCTGCAAGTTATTGAAAACATCTTATCTAGTCAAAAAAACTCGGAAATGGCTGCATTATGCTGTGATGTTATTCAGACGCAACTCTCTATAAAATATCAATTTGATGAACTATCTATTCACTTTCTGAAAGCAATAGATATTTTAATTAGTAATTCCAAAGAGCTACAGAAAATTACTGCAATTGCCTTTTTGAAAGTATTTGCAAATAAATTTTGGGATAATATTGAAAATTTAACTAATCCTATCAAATTTGAATTTGCAAATATCAATCGTAACGATTTAAACAAACGTTTGAAAATAGTTCATCCTTTGATTCATTCATTCACAATATATTTGCTCAAGTCTTTGTATATGAAAGGACTAACGACTTATGAAATTAAACAATTTTGCAATACACAACAACAAAATTTACCATGGGTCAAAATTTTAAAAGCAGATTGTGACAGTCGTCTTGGATTTAACCCTTACTGGTATAGTGAACAATTTAAACAAGTCGAACTTTTATTCAACACTATTTCTTATAGTGGTGAATCATCAGTAAATGATCTATTTAATTCATATATTGGAAATCATGAGATAACCCGGAAAATTTCATTGGCAGGGATGATAATGACCAAATTTTATCTAATTAGAGCATCACGTGAATTGAATGCAAATGAACATATTTTATTACAAAAGACTTCTAAATACTTACAATCATCTCAACTTCCAGAACATTATAAAATATATCTTTTAAATTTTATGACAAATGAAAATCAACTATACAAATTGAGACCAAATGTTAAAAATATCGAAATGTTTATTTCATCAATTGTTGCTCATGTCGTGGCATTGAATATTTCAAGTGCTGTTAATTCATCTCCTTTAGTTGCATACATTCAAGCACTATATGATTATAAAGATACTTATATCTTGACATGTCCATCGGATGAGATGGCCTCAATAACAAACATAATAATTGCAAAGGATTCAGGAACAAGAAGGTACGTTATTTAATTCATAATTTCTTTAAATATCATTTTATTTATTTAAATCTATTTTAATTATCGTTATATAGATATCGATGCAAATGTGGAAATCTTTATTTTATTGGCGATTGTGGACGTCCAAATCAAATTGGTGAATGCAATCAATGTAAAAACAAGATTGGTGGTTTGAGTCATAATCTTAATGAAGGAAATAGCAGTATAGATGGAGATAAGATAAAACAATCGATTAATGTAAATGATGTAAAAGGTTATATAATTGAAGACACATTTGATACTTATTATACTGTTAGAACTTTGCATCCAGCTTCTTATAGAATCCTTCGTCTATTCTTGCACATCATTATTGGAGTTCAAGCCAATTTACCAACTACCGTTAATTTTATTAACAATCAGGATTGTGATATTGTTCAATATTGTAAAAAACACATTGAAAATGATTGGGAGGCATTGAAAAATATTTTTAACTGCGATGATGAAACTTTGGCGTTAGGTATTCATTCGATACTTTCAGATATGGTACAAGAATCTCAGAGAAATGTTGAAAAGTTTACATCACCAGCCCAAAGAGAGGCATGGGAAGAATACTTTAACCAACAGTACGTTTTACCAAGAATAAAGAATTTTATTGGAACTGCTAATAATTTTCGAATAGCATTAGATAAAAATGCAGAAAATTTACTCGAAATTAATGAGACTCTGGAAGTCACTGACCAATACAATGAAAACTGTCTACCTTTGCTCTGGAGACTAATCCGAAAACCTGATTTGGACAATTTTAGATCTTATTATATGTCTAACACTGAAAATAAAGAACTATTTCCATTATTAAACATTTTTTTAAAGCATGAAAATCATCTGAACCTTATTCAACACCTTTTACCAATTGTGAAATTCACGCAAATACTATTTTCGAGCCTTTCTTATAACATTGAGAGACAAAAGGCACGTCAATTAACTTTTCGACAGTTTATAAAAAATGAAAGTGAAAATGATGATACTGGAAAAACAAGAGAGTCTTTGAATGCAGCATTTAATAGCTTTGCAAAATCGTGGAACTGTTTGATTCCACATATTAAACGATATCGTTGTACAGATCTACCACAAGAAATGCCTAAATTACATAGCAAAATTTCAATCGTTTATGGGTTATATGTGCATGAACCAAAAGATGAATCTTTATATCTAGGTGCAACAATAGAATTCTTGGTTCAATTGCAAAACAATTTTCTAAATGACGTTATAGAAATTTCTCCTAAAACCTGTCAATCACTAAAATTTATTGAAAAACTAGATACTCAAGAACCGAGATATCACTTGCAATCTATTAATCTTGAAAATGCAAAATCAGAACAAATAATTAATTATAATGACATTTATGAAATCTTTTTATATTGTCAATATAATCTTAGACTAGGCCATGGTCGGGAAATTGATTATGATCTATACAAGATTGAAGCTGAATTGGCTCTAGAGTTGGTGTATGGAAAAAAGTTAATTAAAACTAATAGAAAGCAAATGTATTTGAATTCATTCGCATATTCTAAAGAATTATTTAGCAGATCTATGACAATATTGGAAGAGATTAAAAAGTTAGTACATCAAGAGCCGATACCTGCTAATAACTTACCAGTTATATCAGACAATGAAATGGAATTACTTTCAGCCCTAGAAATAACTATTTGTTTTTTAAAGCAAACATCTGGAGGAAACCGTGATACCTTAATTAGCGATTATATAAAAAAATGGATGAAATCAAGCGTGATAAAAAAAGATAATAGTAGCTATGAATTATTAACAAGAACAGGATTACAACTTAAACATATTGTAGCATTATATGAGTTAGTTGAAGAGCATGTTGCTGATATAGTTATAAATTGCATACCTTTGAAATATCAAGCTGAGTTAGACGAATCTATAGTGCAAGTTATTACAAAATCAATAGATTTTGAAAAATCAATTTCGGAAAAATCTACAGAAATTCCGGCAAAAGCATTCTTGACTGCTTTAAAGAGACTTATAGTAAGATATTTGTCGACTGAGTCGACTGATAATGAAATCATTAAAGAAAACGTTCCTATTTCCCTATATCTTGTGGACAATGCTTCTCTTGGACTTTGGCCTGATTATACTTCTGTCGATGTTATAGAAAATAAATTTCCAACTACTTCATTATTAACTTCTCATATATATAATGTTTACAAGTTTGTTAAGAAGGTAAATATTTAATTATTTTTAGTTGATATTGATATTTAAATCATTTAAATAAAATAATTCTGATTATAAATTCTATCAATTTTTAGAGAATAAATGATATCGATCAAGAAAATGAAAAAACAAAAAATATTCAAAGTGAACAATATAATCAATTAAACAAAAAACAAAAAAGAGTGGTTCAATCTAAAAGGTTTATGAGAGCATAACTATTTTACTGTGATTATCTTTACTATATCGTATTACACTTTCAGATTTATAGTATAAAAAATTTTTGTCCAAATGACTTGTGATCTACCTATTAAAGTATATAGCTAATTTTTTTAAAATTTTAAAAACTCTTTAAATATATAAATAAAATTTTTAAAAACGTTGCACAAAATATATTTGTATAAGTGATTTTTTTGAATTTTAAGCACTGTTTAGTTTACAACTATAATATATATATTCTATATATGAGCAACTTTTGTGCACAATTTGATTTAACATTACTTCTGTGCACAATTTGATCTAACATCACTTCCTTGTGATCTGTTCACAATTGATTTTTCTATTCAAAAAAAACTATAGGTATAAGTGCAACTACAATGCCATAACAGATAATAATAAAAGCATGATTTTTAGATATTAATATCAGTGATATAATGCAAATTTGCTCAGCTATTCACAAGATCTTTGATATTTTTCATTTTTCTTTGTAGAAGTTTTTACTGGGTTAATGAAATGATACTTACTGATCATCAAAAATGAAAATGAAAATTCCTTATTATTACATACAGGATTATATTTCATAGATATGATATTAGCGTTCACAACATGATTAATAAATAAGTGTTTCTCCAATTATTTCAATAATTGTAGTGATAAGCTAATAAGATTATCTGATTTCCATAACGTATTTTACATGTATTTATTCAATTTCAACATATTGATCTAATCTTATATCAATCAAATTATTCAAAGAAAATCTAACACTCAAGTTTTTGTATTAATTTAATCAATGTTTCAATTGGTTATTCAAAGATAAGCTAACACTAATTTAAATTTTTTATACGGATGACACCAAGAGAAAACCAGATTCTGTTTGCATAAAATTTAAACAATCGAAGTCTGGATTTTTCTTTTCATGTTAACATAGGTTAATATAGTCTGCAAGTGCAAGTTGTAATAATTATTTATTAATTGGCATCGATTAGCTTATGATCTATTCATTTTTTATTTAATTTCTTTTTATATTTGGATCGCAAGTTAATAGTCATTTTCCAAAATATTATAATTATTTATAATCGAAGTACTTAAGGTGACTAATAGTTTCTTATTTAATTTGCTTTAATTGTTATTTTTTTGTTTTGCATTATATAGCATTTGAAATTTCGGTCGGGCGATCGGATAAACTGAATTTTCATAGAGAAAAGTCTTTTAATCTCTAAGACTTTCCTGAATGCATTTTACTTGTTCAGGTACTATAACTATGATTTCAAGTTCTTTAATTAATTTTCGAATTGATCATAAACTTATAAAACCTTTATTGCTTCCTGAAATAATACAAACTTTATCAAAGATGAAAATACAAATGGAATGATTTATCTTTGTGTCAGAGATAATTAGCAGAATGAAACTAGAAAAGACATCTCTGGATAGACCCGGGTTTACATATATATTATAGACCTATTTGTATGAAATTTTAAAAAATTTATTTATATATAGAGTTTATGCTAAATATGCTAAATTTGTAAACCTCAGGTCTAATGCTAACACCAAATTTTATAATTAGAAGTGTCCTTAATTTGTTAATTTTGTATTATTAATTTATTAGTGAGGTGTAATCACGTTCAAAAAAAGATCCGGAAATATTTTTTACTCTGCGAATGATCATCCACCGTAGCATTAGGCATTTATTTATTATTGATGGCCTAGTAAATCATCATGTAAACGCGATTATAACAAAATTGCGTTGACAGATTTTAATGTAAGTGGTAATGTCAAAAATTAAATTTTTTTTTAAAACGGTTAACATTTGAAAGCGCTATTTAACTGATGTTGAAATTTGTAGATTCAACCAATTATGTTTTATAAAGAGAATCCCGATTAGACTCGAATAATTTTAAATAAGCATTTTTTTTTTTTTTTTTTTTTTTATCGAATTTTTGAAAAATTTGGGTCGGCGGGTGATCATAAACGAAAAATTAACTTTTGTAATCTTAGAGACAACTAAAATAATTTATTCACGCTCATAGCTATTTACTGCAGAGGTGCAAACAACAAGTATACAACAGAAAGTTTCTTTTATCAGAGTTAATGTCATTCGTAGCTATACATGGGTGACATTAATTTCGATAAAAAAAAACTACGAAATCATCGTTTACTAGTATATTACACTATTACACTTAGATAATTACCTACTTTACGGATATATTACTGATATATCGAATATCGTAGGCCACATTGATTGATGAAAAAGTAATCAATTGAAGTCAAGTTGATAATCAACTGTTTCTTTTTTAGATTTTCCATTCCTGATTTTGCGCGATAATGTCTCGCAGCTATCTTATTAACATATATTCAGTTATATCTAGTCAAATATAAGAATTTTAACTTCATAGCGATCTTCCTCTTTTACATTTTATGATTACCAAATAAAATTACGATTATAAAGATAATAAAAGAGACAAAGAAATGTCCTAAATCTAAATTTATCGTCCTTAATCTATTTTCTAGTATGCTAATTATTATGTTTAGAATATCTTCGCACAAAGTTTCTCTTGTTAAAATTATCCTTCCAACTCACTAACCCCACCAAAACGCCAAAGGAATATTCTCCTCTCCGGATGACCGTTTCCAATTCATAAACCTCTTTTCCTAGAAGTTGAAAAACAAATTAATAGTGCAATAATATTTATGAACATTAATATTAATACTGATTAACTTACCAATAATTTGTTGGAACCAGGCCTTACATTGGAAGACTATTCTAAACGTAAAAACTTCTAGTATTATATCACGTCCTTTGTCTTTCTTTTTTCTAAATTGATAACAATTACTAAGAAGAACGTTCACTGCTAATGCTGCAATGTGGCAGCGTATTATCGGATACATAGCAACGCGACATATAATTCAATAAGAGAAACTTACCCTACATGTTCAACTGTTTGTTACGCCAAGTCTTTGTAACCCGTTCCTTAAGTCCATAGCGCAAAGTTTTTCAAATCGCCTACATCTCCTATACAGAATGTAGAATTATCGACAAATTCAATATAGTCGGTAATTTGGACGTGTTCGATATTAACGGATGTTGCGATTGATTCTGAAGAAGACTTTTTAAAATTAACTTGAAGTGTAAAGAGTGAATATAAATAAAATGCCCGATATTAATTAATTAATAAGTGAACTTTTAGTAAAATTCTAAAGAACTGTCGCCTCTTTTATTTCACTTGCACACTAAAAAGAAACGCGCTCATTACCAAAAAGAGACAATCGCATGCATTTAATTTCCATAAACGGGTGGTAAATAAGCCACAAAAACGTGTTATAAGCACATGCTTCATTTTTCATGAACGTACGTACGTACGTACGTACGTACACAAACAAAATCCAAAATGGGAAATTACCAACTGGAAAGCGTAAAATGTGATTATCCTTGATTAGAAGGCAGATTTCGAGGATCAGGCACGATCAGGCACGATCAAAACAAACGTTCGTTTTGTCAAAAATACTTCTTTCTCAAAAATCAGCATAATAAACCACCTTTAGTGCTCTAACAAAAAAGTTTTTCTTGAGCGAATTTACTATACACCCACTTTGTTTTAACTTTATACGAAACACCCTAACTCTAATAAAAATTTTAAAAAATTTTACGATGATCGGCAACATGCATAACCTGTGTTACGACCAGGGGAGAGACTTTGTATCCACGTAGCCAATTTAGCTTAGGGCCGTAAGCATTAAAGAGATAACCAAGTAATTTATTAGACGTGTTATTTACAGGCGATATATAAAAGACCGTTATTTATTATTCTCCCTCTTCCTCTCCTTTCGTCTAAAGCCACCTTTTATATTCTCATTCCATTCCTTAACTCATGATATAAAAATGAAGTAATCCCAAAAAATTTACAAAATATGAAGTAATATTAAAGAAAAATGAAAATGAACAAAACAATATGTAAAAATGTAGTAATCAACGCTGGGCAGTTTGATCGACAGATGTAGTCACAAAGATGTAA